CCAGGCAGTTTCCCACTACTGCCAATCCCACCTCCCTGCTCCCTCATGCCCCCACAGTTTCCCACTACTGTCAATCCTTTTCTTATAATATTAGGATAGATGTTCTAGGTCCACTTATGAGTGAGAATATGTGATACTCAGTTCTTTGTTTCTGTGAAAGATCACTCAGTATTATAGACTCTAAGTCCATCCAGGTTGCTGCGAAGTTCCTGATTTTGTTCTTTATGGCTGCGTAATATTCCATTGTGTATACGTACCCAATTTTTTATCCAGTCCTCTTTTGATGGGCAGCATGGTTGGTACCTTGTTCTTGCTGTTGTGAACAATGCTGCAATAAACACATGTGTGCAGGTATTTTTTTTCATTGAGTGATTTGAGTTCTTCTGGGTGTATTCCCAGTAGGGGGATTGCGGGATCAAATGAAAAGTCGATATTTAGAACTTTTAGGAATTGCCACACTTTTTTCCACAGAGGCTGTACTAGTTTACACTCCCACCAATAGTGTAGAAGTGTTCCCTTTTCACCACATCCTCTCCAGCTTCCGGTTTTTTGAGTTATTGATGATGGCCATTCTGACTGGAGTTAGGTGGTATCTCAGTGTAGTTCTAATTTGTGTTTCTTTGATGACTAGTGAGGCTGAACATCTGTCCATGTATCTGTTGGCTGCTTGTATGTCTTCTTTTGAGAACTGTCTGTTCATATCTTTTGCCCACTTTGTAATGGGGCTGTTTGTTTTTTTTTTATTTTCAGCATGTTTGAGTTCCTTGTAGAGTCTGTATGTTGGGCCTTGGTCAGAGAGAGTTGGTAAATCTTTTTTGCCAGTCTGTAGGCTGTCTCCCTGCTCTCTTTATACTTTCTGTGGCTTTGCAGAAGCTTGTCAGTTTGATAAGGTACCACTTGTCTATCTTATCTCTTATGGCATGAACACCTGGGATTTTGATCAAGAATTGGTTGCCAGTTCCAATTTCCATAAAAATGTCTCCTGCATTTTCTTAGGTTCTTATAGTTTGAGGTTTTATGTTTAGGACTCTGATCCATTTAGCGTTGACTTTTGTGTATGGGAATAGGTAGGGGTCCTGTTTCAATCTTCTGCATGTGGTCAGTCAATTTATCCAGTACCATTTCCTGAATAAGTTCTCCTCTCTCCAGTGTTTTGTGGTGAAGTCTTTGTTGAGGAGTTGGTTGAGAAATTGAGATTTTGCTGCTGGAGTCTCAATTCTATTCCATTGTTCTATATGCCTGTTCTTGTACCAATACTAGACCTGTTTTGATGACTGTAGTGTTATAAAAAAGTTTAAAACCTGGGAGTGTGATACCTCCTGCTTTGTTTTTTTGCTGAGGAGTGTTTTGGCTATTCATGGTCATTTCCATTTCCATATGAATTCCTGTATTATTGTTTCTAGGTCTGAGAAGAATGTTGCTGGTAATTTAATGGGTTTTGTGTTAAATCTGTAGATCACCTTAGGTACGATGGATATCTTCACAATGTTGATTCTTCTAATCCATTAGCATGGATATATTTTTACACTTGTTTGCGTCACTTTTGATTTCTTTGAGCAGAGTTTGGTAGTTTTCATTGTAAAGGTCTTTCACGTCTCTGGTTAGGAAGATGTCAAGGTATTTCATTTTTTGTGTGTGTGGCTATTGTGAATGGAATTGTGCTTTTCATTTTGGGTTTCTGTTTGTTTATTATTGGTATATAGAAATGTGATTGTATTTTGCATATTTATTTTATACCCTGAGTCTTTGTCAAAGTCCTTTATCAATGCAAGGAGGTTTTTGACAGATTCTCTTGGGTTTTTGAGGTATAGAATCATGTCATCTGCAAAGAGTGATAACTTGTATTTTCTCTTTTCCTATTTGAATACACCTGATTGCCTTCTCTTCTCTGATTGCTCTAGCTAGAACTTTCAAAACTATGTTGAATAGGAGTGGCGAGAGTGGGCATCCTTGTCTTGTTCCAGTTTTCAGGGGAAATAGTTCCAATTTCTGTCTGTTTTGCAGTTTGCTGGCTGTGGGTTACTCATAGATGTCTCTTACTATTTTGAAGTAAGTTCCATCTATGCCTAAATATTCATGGGTTTTTATCAAGAAGAGGTACTGAATTTTATCAAAAGTTTTCTTCTGCATCTAGTGATATAATCATGTGGGGATTTTTTTTATGTCTGTTGATGTATTTAATTACATTTATGGTCTTATGAATGTTGAACCAACCTTGCATCCCAGGGATGAAACCTACTTGGTTGTGGTGGATAATCTTTTTTTTTTTGAGTTGGAGTCTCACTCTGTCGCCCAGACTGGAGTGCAGTGGCCGCTCCGGCCACCACAGCCTCGACCTGCTGGGCTCTGGCGATCCTTCCGCCTCAGCCTTCCAAGGAGCTGGAATTACAGGCATGCACTACCACACCCAGCTGATTTTTTGATTTATTATAGAGATGAGGTCTCGCTGCCCAGGCAGGTCTCGAACCCACGGGCTCAGGCAATCCACTCACCTCAGCCTCCCAAAGGCGCAGGATTATAGGCTGAGCCACCGAGCCTGGCTGGATAATTTTTTATATGTGTTAATTAATCTAATTTGCTAGAATCTTGTTGAGAATTTTGTAGGATCTTGTTGAGAATTTTAGCATCTATGTTCATCAAGGATATTGACCTGTAGTTCTTTTTCTTTGTTGGATGGATCTTTACCTGGCTTGGGTATCAATGTGATGTTAGCTTCATAAAATGATTTGAGGAGAGTTCCATCTTTCTCAGTTGCCTAGTATAATTTCAATAGGATTGGTATCCATTCTTCCTTGTATTTCTCATAGAATTCTGCTGGAAAGCCATCTGGTTCAGGACTTTCTTTTTTTAGGTAGTTTTCTTATGACATAGTCAATTTTCTGGATTGTTATTGGTCTATTTAGGGTGTTGATTTCTTCTTGTTTCAATCTGGGGAGGTTGTGTGATGTAAGAAGGGCCTCCATTTCCTTTAGGTTTTCAAGTTTGTTTCCACACAAATGTACATACTATCTCTGATATTCTTGTGTATTTCTTCAGGGTCAATTGAGCCTTCATCTTTTGTGTTTCTGATTAAGTTTATTTGGGCTTTTTCTTTCTTTTTCTTGCTCAGTCTAGCTAGGGGACCATCACTTTTGTTTATCCTTTCACGTAACCAGCCTTTTGTTTCATTGATTTTTTTTTTTTTTATATTATCTTTTTGTCTTCTATGTGCCGGATTTGGGCTTTTATTTTGGTGATCTGGATTTTACTGCTGAAGTTAGGGTTTTGGTGGTCTTGCTTTTCCAGCTTCCTTATGTGACTTGTTAGGCTGTTAACCTGTGATCTTTCCATTTTCATCATGTGTGTATATAGAGATATGAATTCCCCTTTTACTACTGCTTTCATGGTATCCCAGAGCTTTTGGTAAGATGTTTGTTCATTTTCATTTGTTTTCAAGTATCTTTTAATATCTGTTTTGATTTCCTTGTTGACCCAGGAGTTGCTTAACATCATGCTGTTTAGTATCCATGTCTTTGCGGGTTTTGGGGGAACTTTGTTGGTGTTGATATTTGTTGTATTCCACTGTTTTCTGACGAGGTGCATGACAAAATTTCAAACTTATGAAATTTGTTTATGCTTGATTTATGGACAAGGATGCGGTCAATCTTAGAGTACGTTCTATGTGGTGATGATTAGAATATATTTCTGTAGTCATTGGAGTGTTCTATAGGTATCAATTATGTCCTTTTGGTCAAGAGTCGCATTTACGTTCCAAATCTCTTTGCTGATTTTTTGTTTGATGATCAGTCTAAGTTTGTGACCTGGGTATTAAAGTTCCCAGCAATGATAGTGTTAGAGTCAATATCTTTTTATAGTTTGCCTAGAAGCTGCTTATGAAAGTTGGTGCTCCTACATTGAGTGCATATATGTTTAGGATGAATATTTCTTGTTGATGGTATGAACATTTTATCATTATATAGTGACCTTCTGTATCTTTTTAAATTTTTGATAGCTTAAAGAGTATTTTGTCTGATATTAAGATTTTTTTTTTTTTTTTGAGTTGGAGTCTCACTCGGTTGCCCAGACTGGAGTGCAGTGACTGCTCCCGGCCACCGCAGCCTTGCCTGCTGGGCTCTGGCAATCTTTCCGCCTCAGCCTTCCGAGTAGCCGGAATTACAGGCATGTGCTACCATGCCCGACTGATTTTTTAATTTATTTTAGAGATGAGGTCTCGCTGCCCAGGCAGGTCTCGAACCCGTGGGCTCAGGTCATCCACTCACCTCAGCCTCTCAAAGCTACAGGATTATAGGCTGAGCCACTGAACCTGGCTGGATATTAAGATTTCATCTCCTGCTTTCTTTTGTGTTCTGTTTGTCTGAAAGTTTGCTTCCCATCCTCTTACTTTGAGTCTGTGAGTGCCATTTCTGGTAAGATGAACTTCTTGGAGACCATATAGAGTTGCCTCATGATATTTTATCTATTTTTCTATCCTATGTCTTTTCAGTGGTGCATTTAATCCATTCACAATCATACTAATTATTAAAAAGTGAGAGTTTATTCCTGTCTTGAGGTTCTTATAGAGTTGTTGTTCCAGTTTGTTTGTTGTGTTTGTTTTGATTTTGGGGTTGATTCATGTGTGTTTTCAATCTTTTTCTTGCACTCTTATGAAGAACATTGTCATTCTTTTTTCCCTTGAATGTCTGAGAAAGATTTTAATTCTCCCTCACTGATGAAGCTTAGTTTATCTGGGTAGATTATTCTTGGTTGAGTTGTTTATCTTTGAGAACTTTGAAGATAGGGCTCCAAGCTCTCCTAGGCTGAAGTGTTTCTGTAGATAAATCTACTGCTATTCTAATTGGTATTCCCTGGTAGAACAATCTTTTCTTCCCTAGTAATCTGATCTTTTTCTCTTGTTCCCTTTAGGATTTTTTTCTTTTATACCTATTTTTTTTTAAGGTGAATTACTATGTGTCTAGGAGTTAGTTTCCCCATTTGTTGTCTTGCAGGAGTTCTCTGAATATCTTGTGTTTGAGTGGTCACATCACGGATGAGATGAGGAAAGTTTTCTTGAATAATTTTATGGAGTGTTTGTTTCTGGGTGGTCTCTGTCTCTCTTTCTGCCTCAGGAAGTCCAATTACTCTTATGTTCAGCTTCTTGAAATAATCACTAATCTCTTGGAGGTTTTGTTCTGTTTTTTTTAAGCTTCTTTTCTATGTTTTTGACAGTTTGGGTTAGTTCTATATTTTGGTCCTCAAGCCCTGAGGGTGTTTCTTCTGCTTGGCTAATCCTGCTTTCCATGCTTATCAGTTTGTTATTTATTTCTTTCACAGTATTCTTTACTGCTGTTATCTCAGTTATCAACTCCTTCATATTTCCTCTTGTCTCTCCTTAATTCTATTTATTCTCTCTATTAATATCTTAATGTCTGGGTTTGTAGTTTGAGACCAGTCATTCTGGGGGCTCTTCATTGTTTGTGTTCCAAAGTTTGTTTTATCAGTGCCTGACCTCCCAGGGGTCTATGTGAGAATCATATTCGTCTTTTGTTTTTCTTCATTTGTGTAGATTTTCCTCCCCCCCCATCCCCACACACACTTTTTTTCCCCCACCTTCTTCAATTCTGTTGTTCAGGGAAGCAGGGTTGCTTTTACTTCTATTTACTCAATCTACTATTCTTCTTTGTGTGCATCTCTGTTTTCGTTCAATTCTGAACTGGACTGTGGGTTGGGGGCTGTACTTTTTGCAGTTTGAGATTTAATTGAGGGGCAAGCTGTGATTCAAAATCTATCTGCAGATCTCAGTATCCACTGACAGGAGCCCACTTCCCACTACCTTACAACCTGTCCATGCAGTGGGGGTATAGGTTTGCTCCCTGAAAGTAAAATGAGGTAAGGAAAAGGAAAAGAATGGAAAAAAAGAAGGGGGGGAAGGAAGGTGGAGAGGAAGAAGAGTAAGAGGGAAAACAGACAGATGTACTAGCAAATGAAAAGAGATAGGAAGACGGTAAAGAGTGAAAAAAAACCCCTAAAACATACAATCAGGCAAACACACAAATCAACAAAAACCTCCCTATTGAAGTACTCTTCCCATATACAAACAGGAAGTCTAAAGAAAAAAAAAATCAGTAAAATAACAGAAACAAAGCAAGTATGAAAGTATTATCAAAAACAGAAAAAAAGAGAGGAAAAAACCTTTAAAAAAAGAACAAAAATAAGCAAAACAGACTAAAACTAAAAATAGAAACAAGGAACCAAACTCACTCTGTGATCATTCCTGTAAGTCCAATGTCCTATCAGCTCTTATCACCAGCTCTCAACACAAGCTGATAGGGTTGCTCACAGCTTAGGTCAGATGTTCCAGGTCTACTGTGGAATGAGGGTAGATCAGATCTGGACTCACCCGGCTTGCTGCCTGTCAAGTCTGGCATTCAGATCTGACCTGTCTGTGTCTGATACAGCATGGGAGAGGGGCTTCTGTCTTTCCCAGTTTGATGAGATTACCTTAGGTCCCAAGTTGGAGGCTGGGTGGAGCTAGGTAGATTGGGTGGGGCAATGCAGATCTCTACCTGGTCCTTAGGTCCCAAGTTGGAGGCTAGGTAGAGCTGGGTCAAGCGGGGCAGGGCAAGCAGGTCTCTGCCTGGTCTCTAACATTTCCAATCACAGCATCAGGAAAAGGCTCCACATAATATGTTTATAATTATTTAGAGTATTTTCTAATTTCCATTATGATTTCTTCTGCAGCAAATGAGTTACTTAGAATTTAACTTTTAAACAATAAAGAATGCTTTATTGATCATTTTTAATTTTGTTTTATAATCATATTTTGCAGTTTATCTTAGTTTTTGTTTATATAACTTTCTTGAAATATCATTGGCATACAATAAATTACATGTGTTTAAATTATACAATTTGAAAATTTTAACATTTTTATACAACTGTGAAACATCAGCAAAATCAAGATAATGAACATAACAATAATCTAAAAAGTAAATTGAACTAATTCAAGTCTTAAGGAGTTGACCCTCTTTTTTTTCTGGTCTGATTAAAAATGAGTCAGTTGACTGGGCATGATGGCTCACAACTATAATCCCTACACTTTGGGAGACCAAAGTGAGAGGATTGCCTGAGTCCAAAAATTGGAGACCAGCCTGGGCAATTTGGTGCAACCTCATCTCTACAATTAATAAAAAAATTAGCCAGGCATGGTGGTATGTACCTATAGTTCCAGCTACTTGGAAGGCTGAGGTGAAAGGATTGCCTGAGCCCAGCAGGTGGAGTCTCAAGTGGCTGCAAGAATGCCACTGCACTCCAGCCTGGATGACAGAGTGAGACTCCAACTCAAAAAAAAAAAAGAAGAGTGAGTCAGTAGGGAAACAGATAGGGGAAGTTCTATATTTATATGTAAGATACTTATTTGGTAGGCTTTGTTGTTGTTTCTTTTCTTTTTCTGATTTGAAAATGATCCAGTTGGTAACTGATTAGAAGATAAGGGATTCAGGTAAAGAGTTGACAAAAATGCCAAAATGTCAGTGTTTGTTTTTTTTTGTTTTGTTTTGTTTTGTCAGAGTCACAAAATGTATTTTATGATCTTTATTATTTCTATTAATGGAAAAGGTAAATTTTGTAAAATATCTTAAAAAGGTTTATTATGAACCAGGATAACTGACAGTGACAGCTTGGGGAAAACACAAACCTAAGAAGCCTTGAGTAAGTGATCAACACTATAGCATGGTTTTATACATTTTGAGAAGGCAGGAGTTACAGGCAGACATAAATTAATATGTATTGGTTCCAGTCACAAAGGTGGGATATCTTAAAGTGGGGGCTTGCAGGTTATAGGTGGATTCAGAGATTCTATAATTTGTATTTGGTTAAAGGAGTAAGGCTTTGTCTAATACTTGGAATCAGCCAAAAGGAATGTTTAAGATAAGAATGTTATGTCAGAGTCGCTACAATATACCAAGTCAAAAATGATCAGTTCAGCAAAATTGATGTCTGTAGGCATGACTTAACCTTTCCCACAGCCTTCAGTCTTGTCTATAATTTGGCATTTTACTACCACAAAGTGTCTGTTTTGTCAGTTTTATGATCTCTAGTTCTAGTTTAACATTAATGCCAGTCAGTTTTTTTGTTTAAACTCCAAAAGGGAGAGGGTATTATGAGACACGTCTGACCTCTGCTTCCATTGTGGCCGGGAACTCAGGTTTTAAGATTTCTCTGAGGTCCTTTGAACCAGGAGAGGGTTCATTCAGTTGGTGAGGGACTTAGAATTTTATTTTTAGTTTACACCTCAAAGAAAAGTTTTTTTTTTTTCAATTCCTTTACAGAATAACCCAATAATTTGAGTTTTTTAAAAGGGTGTGTTTTTTTTTTCCCCTCTAAAGATAGTGTATAACTAACTACACCAAGTGTTTTGCATGCCTAAATTGACAAGAACATGCATTTTATAAACAGATTTTAATTAGCATATGGTTTATACTTCCCATCTCACTTCCCTCAATTCTTATTACACCTGTTGTCTTTAAATCCTGGCTATAGATATGTACTTAGACATCTAATTGTGTAGGTAGAACACCTCTTTTCCTCTCTGCAAGTTTCCCACATGTAATCTGGGCAGCAGCATCCTTTGTACTTCTCTGAGGACACGGTCTCCTCTCTTTCATCTTTTCTTCGTTCCCAATATGTTGTCATCTAACACCTGCCAATTTTTCTATCTTCTTAGTTGTTTTGTTAAATCTATTTTTATCTATTACTGTCTTCAATTGATAACCTATATTTGACTTTAAGAATCCATTCAATTATTGTTGACTGTTGACAATGAACCTTGTTTTCTAACTGCTTTGTCTTCATTAAAACAGGCATCTTAAAAACAAAAACAAACAGGCATCTCTGTCTAGATTCTTTACTTTCTTCCTGACTTCCTTCTATGCTCAGTGTTTCCGTTTGTGTTTTTAGCTGTCCAAAGTTCTTCCATGTGGTATTGTACTCAAAATCATTTTTCCTTGACAGTGGTTGGGTCAGGTTCATAAATTACTATTTTCCTTTAAAGTCCTTGAACATGTGAACATTGATATGCGATAACAAGTGGATTGTGGCATTTTGATTTATTTCCTAAGGAGAGAGTGCATCTTTAACCACCTGTGTAGCACATATTTTTAAATGAACACGTGTTAAAATATGTATATTTTAACATCATGGAAGAGAATATAGGGTTTGATTACATTTTCCAGGGATTAATGGATTGGTTTACAGGTCCACTGTGAAAAATGTGTTAATATAATTTGAAACACCTGTCAAACTACCAGTGTTTAACATGGGGCTGAATAATGAATGGATACATATGGGAGGCTGATAAAGTGAAGGATGAAAGAGGTGAGATGAGCAGGCCTTGTGGCTACACAGATGTGACTCATAACTCACCCAGGTTGTGTCTCAGCATGTTTTTAGGTGTGTTCTTTAATATGGAATTGTTTTTACAACCAAACCTATAAAAACAAGTAAACAAAGCTGGTATGGAGGCTCATACCTATAATACCAGCACTTTGGGAGGCCAAGGTGAAAGGATTGCTTAAGGACAGGAGTTCCTGACCAGCTTAGGCAACAATGTGAGTCTCTGTCTCTACAAAATACCAGAAAAATTAGCCAGGCCTAATGGCCCGGACCTGTTTTCCCAGCTACTTGGGAGGCTAAGGCAGGAGGATCACTTGAGTCCAGGAGGTCGAGGTTGCAGTGAACTGTGATCGTGCCACTGTCCTCTAGCTTGGGCCACAATGTGAGACCCCCAACTCAAAAAATACCAAACAAATAATTAAACAAACAAAAAAGCAGACTTCTAGATTACACAAATCTAAAATTGGTCTCAAATTGAGATAGTAAGCTCTATGTCTTATGTTTTGAAATTAAAAGAGCAGTATACACGGGGGGCTCCCCCCAATAAAAAGGAATTATATTTTGGAGGGAGGGCCTCTTATAATACAGGTTTTCCCCACCAGGTAAGTGTTCTAGAAACCTATTAGCATCAGTGTATCAGCTAGCTGTTGTGAGAAGCTGTGTTCAGCTTCAGTGGATCTTTTTTCTCAGAGATTATATCAAGATGTTTGCCCATTTCATGTTGGGTGATTTATGGAGCACACCTGCCCACGCCATGCTGTGTGTTCAGTAGTTTTTAACCCAAAACAGCATGACCCTCCTACCCCATCCTCCCTATTCGCCCAATCATTCCAGTAGTGACTTTTACTTTTTGTTTCCCCAGATGAAAAAAGTCCTCAAGGGGAAAGATTTTGACATGTGGAAGAGGTAAAACAAGCTAAAACAGCAGAAGCACTAAAAGGCATCAAAATCGACAAACTCAAAAACTGCTTTGAGCAGTGAAAAAAATGCCTCAATAGGCGTATTGCATTAAATGGAGAGTGCTTTGAAGGTGACTGAAGTTTAGACATGTAAGAATAAATACATAATTTTTTATACATACATTTCAATCTTTTTTTGGTTCTTCCTCATATCTAAATAGATAGATAGATAGACAGACATAGTTTGAGATGAGACTTTGCACACTTGCAGCTCAATCACAATACATCTGAATGTAACATAAAAGGCTCCAAATGAGTCTTAGAGACTATCAGAGTGGTTAAAGTCTATCTACTGCTATGCAATACTCAAATCAGATGAGAAAGATTTTTAAGATTTCGCAATTATTATCTTAATAAAATTTATAGCTTTGTCAAAAAATATTTTAAGAATATTGTTTATTTAAAATATTTACATATGTTTAATTATTTATTGAAAACATTTATGTGTTATATGTATATATTTAAAATATAATTTTAATTTTCTATGAGCTATTTTGATTAAGATAAATTATGATTGTGGAAAAGTGTTGAGCTTAAGTATTAGGATAAGGTTAATCATAAATTATAATCACTGGACTACTTAACAGTTGATGAACCATTCATCTACCCTACAAAATCTGTGCTAAGCACATTACATGGTAAATGTTTCTTCATTCTTATATTTTATGACACAGGTATTTTGTTTTGCCCACTTTTTCAAATGAGAAAGCTGACTTTCCAATCTGCTAAGGTACTGGTTCAAGATTACAGAGCAAATATATGGAGCAGTTTGAAATTTAAGGCAGTATTATCTGTCCTGGGAATATAGGATTTTTCAATTCAGGTAAGTTTTTCTTAACAAGGACATAGTTTATTTTTCTCAGAATAAAAATGTTTATTTTACAACTATATAATACATAACTATATTTTTCATCTTGTTTTTTTAAGAATTCTTATCAGTTCATAGACCATAATAATATAGGTTTCCAAAAATAGAACCTGAAATCACTTTCAAGTCATAGGGGAGTCTTGCCTAAGAGGCTGCAAATTATTAGATCAACCCTCAGGAATACATTTTTGGGGGGTTAGGTTTTATGAGTTTACTCTTGTATTAAGAGTTGAGCTTGAATCTTGATTTCCATAGTTTTGTTTTTATGTTAAAGGTTTAACACTAAGTTTTAACTAAAAAACAAATAAATAAAAAAACCTGCCTTTCTCATCATTGTTTAAATTGTAGGCTTTTTTTTTTAAGGTAAATATGCAGGTTGAAGCATAACATTAGGAATAGAACATAACTAAGTGATATGTACTGGAACATCTCTTTATTATTCTTGTCATCCTTTTTTCTTTTGTCTTCCATTTGGCTGCCCAGGATCCGAAGGCAATTTTATTTCTACTACTAAGGCGTATCTGTATTTTTCACTATCTAATATATGACTTTCAATCTAATCAATACATGAACTGTTAATTCAAATCACCCTCTGCCAATAAACTAATGAAAACATTTGGTCATTATGTCTGCTCTGCCAGAGAGCATATTACAAAGACTGACTTTGTGAGTTGATCTCTAAGAACAAGGAGTTGGTATGTGGTACCAATTGTGGTATAGTAATACATTTTGCCTAAATTCTTAGTCTAAATTATTTTGCCTAAATTATTTATCTGAATAAATATAAAAAGATTTAATTGATTTACTTTACTGTATATATTAAAATTTGAAAATTGTTAGGGATAGTAAAGATTTGAGATATAATTTTCCTGTAAGAAATTAGTTACTTGACATGATTATTCTCAGTTATTTCTATCATGCATCCTCTAAATTTCACTGGTATAGTTTTTACTACTTCACAATTCCATTCCCGTCTTCCAATATTTAAACAGAAGTTTTGGGATACAATGGGGTTGCAGAAAGATATAAGTACTTGTGAGTTGTAACTGAATTACCCACCACAACTGGTCACAACTTCTTTCAGGATTTGTACTGGTTGGTTTCTCTAGGAAAACAGACTCAGAAGTTGGGATTTGTGACCAGAAGGTTTATTAGAGGGTGCTCTTGGGGGAAAAAAATGCCCATGTGAGAAAGGGAAGCAGGACTGAACAGTAGCAACCAAGGCTTCAATTACTCACCCAGAGAACTCTGGAGCTGCAACACACTTCACATTTGTCATTTCTGATACCAGGAGGTCTGGGCCTTTTGAAACCTTCAGATGATCATTCTTAGATTGCAGGCTGTCCTGGGGATGGGGAGGGCTTACACCTTGGATAAGGTAGCGTTCTTTGACTGCAGGAAAATCCTGGAGGGAGACTGGGCTCTGGTCTCTCAGATGAGGCCTTGATTCTGCAAAAGAATCTGAACAGCCTGAGTATCGTCCATAATTTTTAAAGGGCATAGTTGAAAGCAATAAACCTATGAAGATTTATATATATATATAGTATCCTGAATTGGGTTTTCCTTGTTTTGGGGAGTCAAACTTCTCTTACAGCTTTTTCTAAGTTGCAGAATTTTAATTTATTCACAGAACATATGAAAGGGGTTCTCTTATTTCTAATACATGTTTATATATTTTTAATCAAATCAGTGTCTAGAAAAATGCAAAGAAAATGGAACACTGTGTAAATACAAAATAAAATATATTGAATTAAGCTAAGAACCATTTCAGTGTTAAAACTTAATAAACCTTGAAATATAACCCAAAATAACAAAATAGTAAAATGAATAGTCTAAAAGTTAAATTGAGCTTTTCCCCAAGGGTTTCTTGTTCTTTTTGCTCATTTCTCACTGAAAGGGAATATTTATCAACAAGAATTATGTCCAATAACATTAACTAAATAGATACTTATTTTTTTTTTTTTTTTGAGTTGTTGTCTCACTCTGTCGCCCAGACTGGAGTGCAGTGACCACCCCTGGCCACCTCAGCCTCGCCTGCTGGGCTCCAGCGATCCTTCCGCCTCAGCCTTCCGAGTAGCCGGAATTACAGGCATGCGCTACCACGCCGGGCTGATTTTTTGATTTATTGTAGAGATGAGGTCTCGCTGCCCAGGCGGGTCTCGAACCTGTGGGCTCAGGCAATCCACTCACCTCAGCCTCCCAAAGGCGCAGGATTACAGGCTGAGCCACCGAGCCCGGCTGGTACTTCTTTTTTTTTTTTTTTTTAATTAGAGTCTCACTCTGTCACCCAGACTGGAGTGCAGTGGCCGCTCCCGGCCACCGCAGCCTTGACCTGCTGGGCTCCGGCGATCCTTCCACCTCAGCCTTTCAAGGAGCTGGAACTGCAGGTGCGTGCTACCACGCCCGGCTAGTTTTTTTTTTTATTTATTGTAGAGATGAGGTCTCGCCTGCCCAGGAACGTCTGGAACCCGCGGGCTCAGGCAATCCACTCACCTCAGCCTCCCAAAGGCGCGGGATTACAGGCTGAGCCACCATAAATGTTAAGTTTATCTGAAATTTTGACTAAGAGTTTAGACAAAATATATTACCATACCATAAAATAATTTTTTAAAAGCACATGTTCATTTTCTCCCATCTGGAACAAGTCTAGATCTATGATTTGGAATTCTATGATGTGTACAGAAAGAATTGGAAATGAATACTATTCAGAGCAATGATAACTTTCAGAAAATATTTAGCAGTACCTCTCAAGTAACTACTAGCATTTATTGAATGTTATGTCTTAGTGACTGTGCTGTGTATTTATTGTATCTTATTTTACTTAATTCTCACTACAGGACACACAGGTAACTCTATTAAATCTGTTTTCCAGATGAGAAATCTGAGACTCAGAGAAGTTAATGAAGCTGCCCAAAGCTACAAGGATAACAAGTAAAAAAAAAAAAAAAAAAAAACAAGAAAAAAAATCTTTATTTGGACCTAACACATAGGTTCTTTCTACTAACACCAGGCAATAGAGTTCACTAAAATTTATGTCACTCAGTTGGAATTTGAGTATTAAGCAATATGGATAAATTGTCAATGTTTTTGAAGCATAGCTCTTGAGGCCACTTCTACCTGTTTTTTGAGTGATAGAAATAAACATAGATCTAGTATATTATTTAGATTTATATAACTATTACACATTCCCACAAAATGAGGACAATAATGTGGTTCCTTTCTAAAATATCTCAGATAAGTTTGATAATCATTTAAACACTGGCTATTATTCAGATATAAATATCCACTCCAGAAGAATAAGTATACTAAAGCTGTAGCTACAAGTTAACTCATTGTCATTATTTAGCACTACACAAACTAAATGAACAAAAGCAAACAAAAATTATACAATATTAAATAATATTAACTATATTTAACTTAGTATATTTAATATATAAATAAATGAGTATAAACTGAATTACTCTGCTTGGGTAGATCTAAATATCCTCAATTATTTTTCTTCCCAAATTAGTTTGCTGGGGCTGCCATATAAAATACCACAAGAGCGCAGCTTCAACAACAAAAATTTATTTTCTCACAGTCCTGGAGGCTGGAATTTTAAGATCAAGGGGCTAGCAGGTTTGGTTTCTCCTGCGGCCCTTTTTGACTTACAGACAGCTGCCTTCTTGCTGTGATCTTTTCTTTGTGCTTGTGCATTTGTAATGTCTCTTTTTCTTCTTATGAAGATATCCCCCTTATGACTTTATTTAATCTTACTTATCTCTTTAAAGATCCTTTCTCTACGTAAGTCATTGCAGGTTGGATTTCAACATATGAATTTGGAGGAGGATACAATTCCATCCATAGGACCACACCATCCAACAACCTAAACACTCTCCACTAAAACAATCTACAGAATTATGTCAAGAAGAGATTTGAGAAGCAGCAGGGCAGGGCTGACTGGGATTTGTAGAGTGGAAGAGAGAACCAAATCACAAGTTAAGCAACACAGAAGTGGGCGGTAGCTTCTTAAGATATACAAAAAAGAGGGTAACTTAAAGAAGAGACAAAAGTAGAGAGCACAGGCTAATTTTATACAAAACATCAAGCAAAGGTTAGGCCTAAGATGTTAACCAAAATAGTGATCAGTGGTAGAGATCGTAGTATGGATACCATATTACTGATACTCAGAGGAGAACTCTGGTTTAAAAAAGTCGGGAAAGAACCCAGGCTATCATGCAAGTTAACTGAGGTCAGTACTCAGGCATGGGATACTAGAAACAACTTGATACTCTTTCTGTGAGTTTCCATGAGGAGTTATTCTCCTAAATTCCTTTCTTTCCAGGATCATCTGTTCTGAAGTGCTACTTAATGGAGACAATTAAGCATATCTAGCTAAAGGAATGAGATGGGATAATAAAAAGCAAATAGTTACAACAGTAGAATCTGTACCATGAGGGATATCTTAAAGTATGGGCTGAGGATGTTAAGAAAGATATCTAAAATGAAAAACCAAAAGGAAAAAAATGTACTGATATTATTTAAAACAGAAGACAGGGTGAAATGTTGATGCCTCTACATGGATTCCTTTAGCCTTTTCTGACAATTTCTGAAAACGGTCCCCAAATTATTTTCTATTTTACCAACTCTGAAAAGAATCATTGTCAAATTTACATAAAAAATGCATTGAAAATATTACTAGTCCTTCTCAATGATATGTAATAATAAGCTGGGAAAATTCATATATTAGATATTTTCCTGCTATCCTAATCACTTTTCACATAAGATTATTGCAAAAGACATATTGGCTAAAAGAAATAGACACCTCCTGAGGAAAAATGAGAAGTTCTTATGAGCAAAAACACATTATTTTCAAAAACATAATATCTCAGTTTAAGTAACTTCATTAAGAGTGTTTTCTGTTGGTACAAATAATTATGAGTTTCAGGATATGGCCAATGTCATGTCACATCTTTCTAAAAACCAGAATATATGTGAGGCTTATTTTACAGTAAAATATTTGGGTTAAAATAGTATAAGCACTATGACTGCTGGGTATGCACAGAGATTAAGGAAAATATCATTCATTAAATATCCCTAGGGAACAAAGCTACCCCAGTTGATTTCACATCTGTTTGATATTTTTAGCCTGACATTTTGCTTATTGTATTATTTTTTCAGCATTTGGGAAAAAATATTATTAAAGAAGATCACAATTAGTAAATCACAATACCTTTTCAAACAATCACTGATAATATGTTTTAGTGTGAGACAATCTTAAGATAATTTAACATTAAAATATCTGATAATGATACTTTATTATTTTTAGAATAATTAAAATTCCTATTTTAGGCTGCTTGGTCTTCTATATAATGACCTTCTTATTTTCAGAAAACATTGCAGAAAAGATGTGAACCCTAATTATTTCAATTGCTTGAATTTATACCCAATTTGGAGGGTTTAAGAAATATATAAACAGATTATAACATCTTGCTATTTTAGCTATATTCTTATTACATTCCAGTTTGTCAACTCTTGGAAAATTTAGGTTTATTTCTTAGTCATCTGAGGACTCGCATGCAGTAGTCACACACTTTTCTATTTCATATTGAAAAGATTTATTTACATTGCTTAACAAATCTCCTCAGCATTTAAAATTTTCTTTAAATGCTTTAATTCTTTTTTATATTGTTTTCTGATGTTGGCTTATTTACAAATTTGATTTGAACAAAAATTACATTGTAAAATTTGAATTACAAGCCATAATTTTACTTAAATTTTGCCATACTTTTCTGGTTCATAAGTGACAGAAAAAACTGATGTTTTGGATATTTTATTCATTGCTTTTTTTTCTTTTACTCTTAATACATAGAAGACAGTCATTTTTAGAGTAATTGAATTTAAAAATAACAATGGAATTTCATCATGACTTCCATTTTAATGGTAGTGATAAAGTTAATAGCGCCTAGGATAGAGGACACTCCTGCCACGTGAAGAGAGAAAATAGTAAGATCTACAGAAGCTCCTGCGTGGGCCAAGTTTCCTGCTAGAGGAGGATATACGGTTCAACCTGTTCCTGCGCCCGCTTCTACTATTGAGGAGGCTAGTAGCAGAAGGAAAGAAGGTGGTAGCAGCCAGAAGCTTATATTATTTATTCGTGGGAATGCTATGTCGGGGGCCCCAATTATAAGAGGTACTAGTCAATTGCCGAAACCCCCGATTATAATGGGCATAACTATAAAGAAAATTATTACGAAAGCATGAGCAGTAACGACGACATTATAGATCTGATCATCTCCCAATAGAGTCCCCGGCTGTCCGAGCTCTGCTCAGATGAGAAGGCTAAGGGCAGTACCTACTATTCCGGCTCAAGCACCAAATAATAAATATAGAGTTCCGATGTCTTTATGATTAGTTGAGAATAATAATGAGAAAAAAAGTTCTCAGTAGAAATGTTTTTCATAGTATTAAAAGAAAAAACTTAAATTAAATTTGTGAATTGAGAGACCAAGATAGATGCCCTTCTATCAACTAAGAGAGACCCTAAGGTTAAAAAAAAAGTTATCTATGGATTGATGGTTCATGGCCTGACTGGAATGGCAAATTTCTAAATTTCTGGGCTATAAGAAAAAAACACTTTTGTTTAACTCCCTAACAATAGGAACTATCAGGCAAATTTTCAGAACTGTGATGTACAGCACAGATCACTAGAACTCTGATTGGACAGAGGAGCAATCTTACCAACATTCTTTCCTAATAAGCTACTGCAGACCTTAAGCTAGTTTCAGCCAGTTTACAGAGGGTGTCCACAGATAACTTTGTGTGCCGTAGTTCACCTTTTGATGTAAAGAAACAAATGATCTCTCTCTCTCTCTCTCTCTCTCTCTCTCTATATATATATATATATATATAATATATATATATTTCTATATATATGTAATATGTTTGTGGTTAATGTTATCCAAATAAAAATCTATTTTTTTCTGGAGTTGACAGGGTGATTCTAAAATTTGTATAGAAATTCACAAAATTTAGTCTTTTTAATAAAATGTGCTGAATCATTTTTAAAAGCCTATAGAAAACTATATGTATCTCCTGACCCTTACTTACTTCCCATCGAACACAAAATTTAATTTGAGTAGATTGCAGATCTAAATGGGAAAAACCAGTACAACTTATGGTAGAGCAAAGAAAAATCTCTGTGTAATTGGAGTACACTAAGATTTTTATAAAACAGGACACAAAACATGCTAATCATTCAGGGGAAAATTAATACATTAAATTACATCAAAACTAAAATTTTCTGTTTAACAAAACGATCTCAAGCAAATGAAAAAGCATCTTGCACAATTAAAGAAGATATTTTCAATACAGATATATAACACATAACTTATAACCAAAATGTATAAAGAAACCGGGCATGATGAAGCATACCTAGAGTCACAAGCGACTCTTGAAGTTGAGGTTGGAGGATCACTTGAGCCCAGAAGTTCAAATCCAGCCTGAGCAACACAGTGAAACCAGTCTCTTAAAAAAATAATAATAATAAATAAAACAATACAAAAACAAAACATATAAAGAACTACTACAAATCATTAAAAAACTCACTTATCGACAACCTGTAGTGGTAAAACCTAGCAAGGTCTACTTGTGGTAGAAAAACTGACATCTGAAGGAGAGAAGCTATGCTTTCATGTGAGTGGCTACACAGAGACTAAAAATATTATGCGACAACACAGAGTATCTACTCAAAGTTCTTTTATTGGATGAATGCTCATAGCAACATGGCACAAATTGTAAACATTTGCATGCTTGCTATTTGACAAATTCTAGGTGTGGCTTTTGTAGTATCTTCCTGCCCCCTAGTTTGTGAGAACTGCGCTTAGACACTCAAAGTTTTATTTGTTTGCAGGAAAAAGAGAGAAGTAGTTCTTAATAGAGATGCTCCAGCAGTCTCAAAATTCTGATTCTCTTATTCTTGACTTTTTTTGGTAGCGAAGAGATCTCACCATGTTGCCTAGGCTGGTTTTGAACTTCTGGGCTCAAGCGATTCTCTTGTCTTGGCCTCCCAAAGTGCTGGGATTACAGACATGTTCCACCTTGCCTGGCTGGTTCTCTTAATCTTCATGTGTTTATTTATGTGATGTTTGGAATAGTGTAATGCCAGTGTGATACAACCCAGTGGAAAAATGGGGGAAAGACTTAAACAGACACATTAGAGAAAAGAATAAACAAAACATATGAAAAGATACTCAGCAAATTAGTCATCAGAAGAAACCAAATTAACAACACAATACCACCACAAACCTACTAGAAATGCTGAAAATTTTAAAACCTTACAATACCAAGTATTGGCAAGGATGTGAAGTTACTGGAATTTTCTGATGAAGGATGTTTCTGATGGGAACAAAATGTAATGCCATCACTGTGAAAAATCACATAAACAGTATCTATGGAGATTGAATGAACACATACCTTACATCCCAACAAATCTACTTCTAGATGTGTGTGCAACAAAATTTGTACTTACATTCCCCACAAGACATACCAAAATGACCACTTAACATTATTTGTAACGGCCAAACATTGGAACCACCTGAACATTCATTATAAGGTGAATTAATAAATACATTTTAACATATTTGTGCAATAAAATAATTGTATAATTTCATTTATGTATGGTAGAAAGCATGAAAAACTAATGTATACTTTTAGAAGTTAAGATAATGGCTACACTTGTATTGTGGACAGTTGTTAGAAACTAGAAGAGAGCATGAAGGAGTCTTCTGGGTTTCTAGTGTGTTTTTTGATCAGGGTATTAGTTATACAGGTGTGTTATGTTTATGAAAATTCATTAATAAACTGTACAGTTGAGATAAGCACGTCTTTGTGTGTGTATATATCTGCACATAGATACAAACTTTAATAAAGATATATATTATTTCATCTTAATTTACTTTCTATAAACTGTACAAAGTTTGATTTTAGAGGAATACAATTCACATCCATTTTCTTTTTAAAATCGCACTTTCTCTTATTTATTTGCTTATTCTAAATGACAAATAAAAATTATAGATCTTTATGATATACAACATTATGTCTAGATATATGTATACATTGTAGAATGGCTAAATCAAGCAAATTAACATATGCATTACCTCTTATACTTCTTTTGTGGTGAGAACACTCAAAATCTATTCTCTTAGCAATTTTCAAGTATACAATACATTGTTGTTAACTATAGACACCATGCTGTACAATGAATTACACCTATTTTCTTTCTTTTTTTTCAAAGTAAAGCAGTATAGAATTAATTGAGATATTTTAGTTTAGTCTAGCTTTTTATTCATCTGTCATTAACTTCATAAAAGTTAAATTACATAAATTATGTGGCAAGAGATTAGACCTTCCAAAATTTTTTGATGAAAATCAAAACTGGTGTACCGACAACCATTTCAAAATTTGCTAACATTTTTGCACTAATAAAGCAATTTCAAGTATTAAGCTATCAATATAAACTTAGAGGTGAGAAGATAAATGCTTGCATGTTTCTACCCTCCCTATTTTTTATTTATTTATTTATTTATTTATTTATTTATTTATTTATTTATTTATTTATTTTTGAGTTTGGAGTCTTGCTCTGTCACCCAGGCTGGAGTGCAGTGGCACTCTCATGACCCTGTGGCCTCTTCCTATTGGGCTCAGACGATCCTTCTGCCTTGGCCATCCAATTAGCAGGAATTACAGGTGCATGTCACCACACCCGGCGAATTTTTTGATTTATTGTAGAGACGCAGTCTCACCAAGTTTTCCAGGCTGGTCTCGAACCCCTGAGCTAAGGAATCCTCTCACCTTGGCCTCCCAAAGTGCTGGGATTACAGGCTTGAGTCACGGCATCTGGCTCAAACTTCCCCTTGTAAATTAAGTTCCTGTTCCTTCCACTGCTTTTTAAAATAAGGAGACTAAGACAAGAGAGACTTACATAAATTCATTCTGTTAGCAAAATGTAAAACTAGGACTTGAACTTTGTTTCATCTTACCTCATATGAACAGAGTAGCTCTTCTCAACCATAATAACATGATCTTGCCATAACACCTACATACCATTTTCCCTTACTATGTAGTTTGATTTTATCAAAATAAAGCACACAGCCGGGCTCGGTGGCTCAGCCTGTAATCCCGCGCCTTTGGGAGGCTGAGGTGAGTGGATTGCCTGAGCCCGCGGGTTCAAAACCCGCCTGGGCAGCGAGACCTCATCTCTACAATAAATCAAAAAATCAAGGGGGCATGGTAGCACATGCCTGTAATTCCAGCTACTGGGAAGGCTGAGTGGGAAGGATCACCGGAACCCAGCAGGTCAAGGCTGCGGTGGCCGGGAGCAGCCACTGCACTCCAGTCTGGGCGACAGAGTGAGACTCCAACTCAAAAAAAAAAAAAAAAAAAAAAAAAAAGCACAATTAAATTTTTATTATATTATGTATTACATACTTAGAGCTCAGGTTCTTTGTAATTTCAGCAATAGAACAATTCTATGCTCTCTGGATTACTCAAGACCATACAAATGCTAGACTATGCAATAAAACCTTTAAAAAACAAAAATGAAACAAAATGTCTAGAACATAAAAGAAATCAGAATGGGTCTTACAATAAATCTGAACATAGGTTCATTGACTACTAAAATGTAGAATGAAAACTAAGTGTAAGCTATTACAATAATTCATTTATTTCTTTAAGGGCAGAGATTGAAAAAGACACATTGTAAGCTTACATATGCTAATTCTTAGAAATTGTATAGTGTGTATTTGAGGTTTAAAACATAAAATTATGGGATACAAGAAGATGTATATCAAAGGATACATATGACAATTTAAGTGTTAACATGGTACAATATTTTACATACATGAGCAAAAAAATTTGCTTAAATTAAAATAGATTATGTGTGAATGTACACATATGTTTATATTTGCTAGCAGATTACCTGAAATATCAATCTTATTTTGCTGGTTTGTTATAATTTCAGTGTATTTATTAAAGAAACTAAACCTAGCGACAACAGGAACAATGAGAATTTTTATGACATGAGTTTCTATGATA